ATGTCACAACAAAAGTATTCATTCACCCTTCCAGGACCAGTAATTTCAAGTAATGAAGATGGGCCTCAAACAGAGACTGAAGATGAAAAGTACAGCAAACGAGGCTGGCACAGACTGGCAAACAACAACTCACTAGGACTAGCTGGTACCTCTCCAAAGCTCTGCAGATGCTGAAGACAGAAAGGATTTAACAGCTATCAAAATATTCAATCTCTGGTTAAAATCAGCAGCTCCACTGGAGACCTGCAGGGTAACAACTGTTCCAGCTATTGAATAAAAAGAAAGGAAAAAAGAAAAGGTAGGGAACTGGAGAAACGCAGATCATAGAGTTTTATTTCAATACAAGTTAATCTTGTAAAATTTAAATAAAAATAGTCTTTTAAAACATCTCAGGGAACATGATAGGACCAACGTCTGATAGAACCCCATGTGTTTTGTATGAGTACAATCACTGAGAAAAAAAAATGTGAACAGTGAGTCAGTCAATTAATTTTGCAGATGGTTGAAAATTATTTCATTTGGCAAGATCAGAGAAGATTGCAAGGGATTCTGAAGGAACCTAATAAAGATGTGTTAGTGAGAAGCAGAACTTCTAAAAATTGGTACTGGCTCATATTCAGGAACAACAATCGACAGGAACAGTTTCAGACCCATGTATTTGCTAACCCAGTTTACTCTTAGAGCCAAGAAATCTGCAGCATTTTTTATTTAATGGAAGTTTAGATACACTATCTATGAGGTTTGTAAGTTCTTACGTATAAAGAATACAATAATTGTTAACCACAGGAGCCCCAGGGCAAGAACATTTCAGCAGGTCTTCATCCAGCTTCAGGAATTGCAGGCGTAAGGATCCAGGTCACTTAAAGGGTGGTCAGTCTCAGTTCAGTCCCTGCGAAAACAACATAGCAACATGTTGTGATCAGCGGTGCAAAGTCCAACTGGCAGCCAGAAACTACAGCACCCTTCAGGGGCTGACACTGAAGTTCATACTGTTTAATGTCCTCATTATTAACCCCAATGGCAGGACAATATGCATTCTCAGCAAGTCTGCAGACAACTCTAGATTAGGAGGAACAACCAAGTTGGTACCTGAACAGAAGACTCAGAGCAGGTGGAGCCAGGCTGAGCAAAATTCTTAATAGATGTGCAGAACAGTAGGGGGAAAAAAGGCTGTGGGCAGAGTTTGGAACAC